GCCCACAAAATATCTGATGTAATGTCGGATTACACTGCAAACGCTAAGGATTTAAAAATGGAATTTCAAAAATTTAGGTTATTTTACTAGAAATATTAATATGTAGAAACAAATAATCGAATTAAATGTAATAGTTGTCAAATTTCTTATGCACTCGTAATCAACCATTTTACCGAAAACGACAAGCCCTTCAACAGATAACACCAACACTCAAAAGTTTGACATTAAGTCTACAAAATGCCCCAAGCTTGTGCTTTTTGGGAAAACCAACTGACCAAGTATGTCCAATGATGAGCCATGAAAGCCATAATAACTGTCCTTTTTGTTTATGAAAAATCATTAGGATTAAAATTACTTGCTGAAACAAGTGTAGATTTAAGTATTATACCTATCTTTTTTTTGGAATGCCAGAAACCTACAACTATTTTGAATTTGAGAGTTGCTAATGGACCAAAAAACAACTATTGAATTTAAATATAGGTTTACACCATATTTCTCCATGGATATTTTAAAATTGCAAAAGCTAAATTTGCATATTTAGTCTTAAAAGATTAATGCAGCCCTTCAAAAAGTAGTCCATTGCACATGGTTAAGAAACCAGGGGGCTCATGGCGACTATCCAACACTTAACGCATGGGTCTGCTTAGGTTTTTCTATGATGTACCTATTTTGTGAAAATTTAAAGAAAATTAAATATTACGTTAAAAAATCAACACAAAAATATGGTAAAGTAAGAAAACATTTTCAAAAATTGTCACTACAAAGAAAAATTATTTATGACTGGAATTTCTATACATTTCCCCCCATATATTCAAAAACAGTTTTGCTATTGTAAAGTTTTGGGCTAAAAATTGTACCCAAATTTCCAAAATCCATAAATATCATTGTCCATAGTTAAATTTCAACTTGAATTTAATAAAAACATGCATTTAACAGTACTAGCACTATATGAGAAAATTTTCAACTGGGTCATACAGAAAAAAGTTTCATGGAAAAAATGGCACATAAAAAAATAAAGGTCTGTTGGAATAAATTTACAATAGTGTTTAAGATAATGTTTGAATTTTGACTTCCTGTAAAGTTTATAGAGGGAGAGCCTCATCGTTTCATTTTTAAAAAAACTCAGAGAAAAAAAAGCTCACTTTGATATGGTGTGAGTGACTGGTTAGTCTTACAGTAATGCACAATCTGACGTGCTACCATTTCATGGAAGAAAAGGAGCTTTTCTGGCAGAAAAGCTCTTCTTTTCTACAGATTGCAACTAGAACAGGGTTTACAAGAGAACTTGCTTCTTTATTTGTGAAACTACCGTTTTTCCTAAAGTTTAATTCTGTGAAGGTACTGCTAAACGGTAGTAAATTTACCCTGAACAGACAATGCCAAGATGGTTACTGATAATTATCCAATAAGACACATGATTCTTCAACAAATTTGTATGGTAAATGTATATTTTCTTTTCTAAGTCATCTTTTCATCAGGTCCCCATGAATAAAGAAGGTACTCAGAAAACTGCAGTTTTAACGCCATTTGGTTTAGTTAAATTCAATTGCATGCCTTTTGGTTTAAGGAATGCTATCCAAACTGTGCAAAGACAGTTTTTTAACAGACAGAAATTTGAAAGGTTTAAATTACTGCTTTAAACATACAGATGACATTTTGAATACATGGCCACCAGCTGATCACCAACACTATATACATTATTAAATTAAAATTTTCACAAGAGAAGGGAGTGAAGTGACATCACTTATTTCTTAAGGTTAACATAAGCACTCAAAGAAGAAGTAAATTTCTCTTTAACTTAAATAAGATTTAAGTGTTCAAATTAGGCTTGGTTTTTAATATCTGTGTCTGTTACTGCTTTGTAAATAGAAGGTACATAGCTTTCATTGATTCTACTATTACATTATTTGTCACAACAATCCAACAGCCAACATCTAAAAGAAGTTAGTTTTTTTTTTTTAATGAAATCAAAATTCTAGAAATTGGCTCTTGAGAATTTTTACTGGCTCATAAAAGTTTTTTATGTCCTTGGTTATAAAATTTCAAAGAATAATAAAAAAAATATGGTAACTAAAACATATTAGAAAGTTCGACTATTAAAAATTTTTTTAAGGAAAATATGAATGGAAAATTGAAATGGAATTGTCAGGGTTGCCAATCAAATCCGGGAAAAAAAAATTCCATGAAGATCTTATACACAATATATTAAGAGGAAACACAATACCACTACTCTTTTGGGTGCGCCACATTGTACTAACTATTTTTAATTTAATTATTGGAGAAACTTAGAGAAAAAAGGTACAGCCGAACATATTTCAAACAAATAATGATAGAGTAAATTAAATAGTTTAGTATACAGTGTTTTCACTACAGTGCGAGAATCTCGCATATTTTTTTTCTTCCTCGCATTAAAAAAATATTAAGGCGAGGAGCTCGCGCACCCTATTAATGAATTTCAAAATGCATGAATCTAGTGAATTTTGGAAAAAATTTCGTCTTCCGCCATTTCGAATGAAATCCGCTTCGTTTTTCTTCCCCGATCTTTCATTATTTTCAATATCGGTCCTTGTTATCTAGCTTCCCTATTTACCATTATAGTTCAGAACCAGAGCCCCCTCCCCCCGAACCCCTTTCAAAACACATTTTTCTGCAACCACTTGTTTACCGTAGTTAAGGTTTCTTCATGTAAAACGTTTAAATTTTTTGTGCCTGAATGTAAGATGGACAAATACATTGTTAAGACAAATGTCGGTAGAAACGGTAAAAACGAAACAAATAGGGATATTCAACGGATATGGATCAAATACTAGCATGAAGTATGAACTTGGAAAAAACTTCAACGTACTTCACGATTTTATAGCAGAAAAAATTTAAAAGCCTATGCTGGCGGATGTAGAGGATAGGAAAGTGTGTGCACAATGCTACAAATTTACTTAAGTGTTTTCGAATAATTCAGCATCTGTTGCAAGGTCATTTAGCACCTAAAACCGGACTAAGACAAAATATCGTAACAGATTGAGCATTTGAGCAACCTAATGAGAATAGCTGATGAAAAAGTAGATATAGAACATTTTTCATATGATGATGCAGCAAAAATATTTAATGCTTTAAAAATTAGAAGATGTTAAAAATGTATTATAATTAAGGAAATATTTTCTTCCCAGGTCTATTCTTTTTTTTTTTTTTTTAAATTTTTAGAAATCTCACGTAATTTTTTGAAATCTCACCCTGTTATTGAGAAAGGGTGAGATATTCTCACCCATTTTTTTTCTGTAATGAAAACACTGGTATAGCAAAAATATCATCCTTAAATAAGCCATAGACTGCACTTTGAGTGGTCAGAATTTTTTAAAAGATGAAAAAAGAAATAAAATTCCCTGATATTTTCCCAGTTTGTAAAGAAAAACTAAAAATTCCCTGATATTTTAGGTGATTTTTAAATTCCTTGTATTTTTCAGGTTTTTCCTGTGAAGTGGCAACCCTGATTGTGTGAAGGATGTGTTGATCTAATTCCATCAAAAATTACAGATATGCTGGGAGGGGGGGGGGATTCAGCGAAAAAAAGATACTACATATGTCAATTCAGGGAATATGGGATGTTGCAAAGATAAAAGGAGCCGCATTTCCGTGAAGCAATAAGAGATGAATCTTTTGAAGCACATGGGGTATCTTTTCAGAATGAAAATATTTATGTTCAGTGGTGACCATTGATTTTGCTAAAAACAAGTACATATAAGAAGTTACATACATATAAGTCTACGGTATTATATTGAGCACCTTAAAAAAAAAAAACTTTTGAAAACTTTATTGTGTGTAAGTTTCAATTGAACAGATTTTGATTTAAGTTCAATTGACTACTAATGGTACCAAAAAAAAAATAAATAAAACAAAATTCAATATAAATTACTAATTAAAATCAAAAATAAAAGTTGTGATCGCCTTGTTACGATCACTGGTTACCCATTGGTGAAATGCTCTTTCTTTCTGAATTGACTTAAACGCCACAACATTTCAAATCCGGGTTTAAGCTGAGTCTAAAAATTCATTAGCAAAAAAGCTAAAATCAGAAAAAAAGTTTTAGCAAAATGCTAAAATGCCATTAGGCTTATAAAATTACTTTATATCAAACAAGTACTGTAAGTTATCTGACAAAGAATAGCTTAATGTACAAGAATATCAAAAAGAATACCTATAACAAAAATCATTNATTTATCAAAACATTTTGGTTTATAATTAACAATCTTCCTTTCTTTCATGTTTGCCCATTTTACAAATGCTTCTTGAAAGTTAAATGCACTTTCAGGGCCCTCAATATTAATCATTAATAATCTAGCCATTTTTGTTGATCGCTATGCTTCATCTCGTTTGATCACGTTTTTTTTCGTGAACGCTAGCGTCATGGTTCTTCTTGCGAAAGATATTTAGATTTTTCCTTCTTGTTTGATCAAGTTTTTTTCATGGATGTTAGCGTCATGGTTTTTCGCGGAAGCTTTTTTTTTAATGGAATTTAGTAAAATCCTTTAGCAAAAATGCGAAAATGCTTTGTTGAATTTTAGCATTTTTGAGGGGTCTTTTCGCATTTTGCGAAAAAAGCTACCGTAGCGGAAACCCTGTTTCAAATCATGGGTAGCAAAAACTGTCTCAATTGAAGTTTGACGTCGGATTGATTTTCATATCCTGCCTATGTACGAGTTTCAAGATGTCACAAAATACTTTCCCTTCTTCGGCATTCAAATTTATATTGAAATCACCGTCAAGTCAGTCATTATATGTTAATAATAAAAAGAATATAAAAATACTTTAAATTATTATTATGTAAATATATTTAAAATGTTTTCTAATGAAAAGAAGAAGAGCAGCGATCGCCATAGCAACGCATGTGCACTGTTTACTCTTGAACGCAGTTTAAAAGTATGCGGACGCCATCAAATCCAAACCAAGACCCTTTTTGCCAAAGGGGTCATAAATAATAATAAAATAAATAAAAAATATCAACTTACAGTTTCTTTTTGGCATATTTGAATTTCCTTTATAGCTTTATTTCCCCTTCTTCTAGGCATACCAGATTTTCTACGTTTTGAACCAGAGGGAACACTTGGTGGGACCTGGAAAAAAATAATAGTACCAAGGTAAAAAAAAAAAAAACTAAATTTTTAAAAATTCATTCTTTTAAAAATCTTTTCAAAAGTTGAATTATTGGTGATCTACAGCAGTGGTGCGCAAACTTTTTTTGACTGCGACCCTTTTAGTAGAGGGAAAATTTTTGGCGACCCCTAGAGATAAATGTTCACAAATAAGATGTATATTTCGCGCATTTCTTTCGTTTCATCGAATAAAAACATCATCATATTTGACTCATATTAATTTTATTTATAATTTTAAGAAAATACTTTTTGTATAACACAAAAATCAGTAAATTGCCCTTTTATGAGATGTATGTGGCTGCAAGTTTCTAATTATCTCATCGATGTTTGGATGTATGTTGCTAATTGCAATTCGCATATCATCTTCAGGGTTTAAACAAGAGCGGTATTTAGTTTTTATTGAAACTAGTTTGCTAAATCCAGTTTCACATAAATTCGTTGATGCAAATTGTATTAACACTCTGATGGCATTCTTGCATAAAATGGGATATTGTTTTTCCACCGATAGCCAAAATTTTTGTCAAGGCTGAGTCTTAAATTGATTTCGACTCAGTAGTTCTCACTAATTTGAAGAGTTGAACTGCATATGTCAAAGGAAAATGGATCACGAATCCAACAAAGATTTTCAGGAAAATCCTCGAATCTTCTCGAAAATGTTTTCTTTAACTTTTCAATGTGATTGGAAACGATGTTTTTAAATGTAAATATATCTATATTATTTTCCTTGATAAAATCGTTAAAGCAAAGGGAACATGGTGTTGTTTTTATTCAGTTTAGTTTGCCAGAGACTAAGCTTATTCTTAAATGCTTGAATTTTACTGGCTGCAGTTATGATAGTTGAATTCTCACCCTGCGAGCTCAAATTTAAGTCGTTAAGTTTTTCGAAAATATCAACTAAATAGCTCAGCTTCCCTAGCCAAACTTCATTGATATAATAACATGCCAATCTATGTTTCTTTTCGATTAAATATGTGTACACTTCATTTCTTAAATCAAATATCCGTCTTAGTATTTTCCCACGTGAAAGCCATCTGACTTCGGTGTGTAACAGTAAATCTCTCATACGTTGAGCCAATCTCATTGCAAAGTATTGAAAAGAGACGGCTGTTACATTTAATGTAGTTAATTGAACTAACAGCGTCTTGCAATACGTTGTGCAACTCTTCACCCATATCTTTTGCAACAAGAGCTTGCCGATGAATCATACAGTGATTAAATACCATATGAGGCGCCACCTTCTGAATTAAGCCACTGAGCCCTTTATTCGAACCTATTAATGCTACAGCACCATCAGAAAGAGTGGACAGCGTGAAATTGCAATTAAACAGGGAGTGACGGCGCTTCACTCTTTATATGTACACTGTATGGTATGCAGCATGCAGGGATAATGCATTTCATAAAAATTTGGCGACCCCCAAAAAACTTCTGGCGACCCCCACAGGGGTCGCGACCCCTAGTTTGCGCACCACTGCTTTAGAGNATCCATATCTTTTGCAACAAGAGCTTGCCGATGAATCATACAGTGATTAAATACCATATGAGGCGCCACCTTCTGAATTAAGCCTCTGAGCCCTTTATTCGAACCTGTTAATGCTGCAGCACCATCAGAAAGAGTGGCCAGCGTGAAATTGCAATTAAACAGGGAGTGACGGCGCTTCACTCTTTATATGTACACTGTATGGTATGCAGCATGCAGGGATAATGCATTTCATAAAAATTTGGCGACCCAAACAGGGGTCGCCACCCCTAGTTTGCGCACAACTGATCTACAGCATTACGCAGGGATGAAAGTATCAGTTAGCAAAAAAAGCTGAATTCTACATAAACGCAATCAAACATTATGAAATTAATAAATGTATGGAGTTTAAAAAGCTTTGAAAAAAGCTGAATTCAGAGTAAAAGCTGAAAACTTTCATGCCTGATTACATGAAAACAACTTTATAAGAACCCTGTGGCGGAATTTTCTCGAGCCATCTGCAACAAAACACTCTAGCACTATGATCCTTCTGCAAGACACTTTTAATAATAACAAACATGTTACTAATTTAAAATAACAAAAGCTCTGTGTTTACAAAAAAGAAATATATATTTTTTTTAAATAAAACATGTAATAATTTTTTATTCAAATATTATGGTTGATATCCTCGCATTTTGCGGGGGGGGGGGACACAAATTATTTTCTTTTTCACATTTTGTAAATAATTATCATAAAAAAATATATAATAAAAAAATCATGAAATCCATAGTAGTAGGTGCCGAAATAAAAGATCGGCGACGAAATTATGCAAATCGGGCTCCTCAAATGCATGTCTTGTTTCTAGATTCCGTTGCTGTAATAAATTATGCACAAAAAATATGGAAAAATCAATAAATGCCAAAAACTCAATAGAATTATTGCCTGAAAAAGTAAATACTCAAATGCATGAATTTTTTCCCCTTATCGTCTGAAATATATCGCAGTGTTTTCACTACAGCGCAAGAAAGCGAGAATCTCGCATACTTTTTTCTTTCCTCGCATTAAAAAATTATTAATGCGAGAAGTTTGCGCACCCTATTAATGAATTTCAAAATGTCTGAATCTCGCGAATTTTGGAAAAAATTTCGTTCTCCGCCATTACGAATGAAATCCGCTTCGTTTTTCTTCCTTGATCTTTCATTATTTTCAATATCGGTCCTTGTTACCTAGCTTCCCTATTTACCAGTATTGTTCAGAACCAGAACACCCCTCGAACCCCTTTTTCTGCAACCACGTGTTCACCGTAGGTAAAGGTTACCTTTACAAATTAACTAAGTTTGATATAAATATTATCTAAACATAATTTATTTACAATATGGCGGGCCAAAGACATTTTACTGGAGAGTGTTTTTTAATCTATTTAAAAAGAATTATCATAGATTCAGAGATTAGCCGATCTAAACTAAAATGTGTTATGGAATGGATGATAGATACAGTGTGGTACTAAAACCAGCAAAAATTTGTCATTCTTAAGAGAAAAATGAGGAATAGGGCAAACCGTGGAAAAGAAAACAAAAATCCATGAAAATACAAATTTTATTCAAAAGTCTGAACTTGTTAGAACACTCAACATCTCATTATAACCACAAAATGAAAACACAGAAAACATGGTGTCTAACATTTCTATACATTGATCTCACAGTCAGCTACTCTATGATTACAAAATAGATCATGCATGATTACTATGTTGTTGATGCAGGGTTGGCAAGATTTTGCCGCAGGTGGAAAAAACCATGGTAAATACCGGTAAAAACCGTCCTGGCAAAAACAGGTTTTTGCCAAGCAAATTGGCAAAAAGTGGCAAAAACCTATATTTTCCAAAATGAGAGGACAAAAACACATTTTTGATACAAAATTATTCCTAAAATTGAAATATATACTATAAATATAAATAATTACAAAAAAATTAACAAAATTATTATTCCATAATTAAATGATAATGTAATAATATATCATTTTAGTAGTTTAAAACATTATTGATTGGAAAATTTGTGATTATTCTTTTTTTTCCAGTGAAATGAACTTATTTTAAATTAATATAACTATAATTTAAAACATAAAATATCTATCAATATGTGTAGTTAATTATTGTACAAATAATAATTTTTTATAATAAATAATAATATTATGCAAATAATAATATTTATTTATTTGTAAAAAAACATTTATTTTAGGATTCTAAAATGAAAAGAGATCACAAACTTTCAATCTTTTAAAAATTATTACCATTATATTAATTATTAATATGTTAAAAATAATTTTTTCATGTAATGTATCAAAATTATTATTCCTTATGATTGATTTAAATTTGTTTCAAGTATTTTGTAATAATATTTAATCAGCAATTTAGATAATTTGGTTTTTGCCGGTTTTTACCAGTTTTTGCCGGTTTTTACCAGGTTTTTGCCACTGTCCTGGCAAAAACCCCTTTTTGCCGGCAAAAACTCCAACCCTGTGTTGATGTGAATAAATAATTTATAAAAATCACATGAAAGAGATTAAATTAATTTGCGAAACTACAAAATTCCTCTCTACAAGATTTGCCACAATTACGAAAAATAATGAATAACACTAAGGCATAAAAACTTGATGATGTAAAATAGTTAATTGAGTTTCCATAAAATGCCTAAAATCTGAAAAGGTTTGAAACTTGAAATTCTGAAGGTAATGCTATTTGCTTCCAAAAGTAAACCATGAATAACATAACTAGAAAGGTGTAGGCTTGAAAGTCAAAATCTTTCTTAAATTGATTATTTTCAAATCCACATTCACAGAAAATGAGATGTTTAATGACAAACAAAAATCAGGACAATTACAGAAGGATTATATGAACAATTAAAAACAAATACTTTTGTCAGCATGAAGAAAATAGATATTTAAAAAGCCAATGTATAGCAAAGAAGAAAAAAAATAGATAATCTAAAAGCGACTGACATTTTACCCCGTGGCAGAATTTTTTTGGGGCTTTCTGCGATAAACCTCTCTAGCACTAATAATATCTTTCTGCATGATACTTTTAATAATAACAAATATACATGTTACTAGTTTGTAGTAACCGAAGCATCAATTTTTTTTAAAAAAAAAAAATCTCATCGCGTCAACTTAAAAAGAAACTTTTTGGATAAATAGAAGCAATGAAGAAAAACTAAAAGACAATGGAAATAAAAATATGGCTACTGAAGCTGGCGACTTCAGGAAGTACCAGCTCCAGAAGCCATAAAAACAAAACCCTTCCTAAACGACTTTAATTCTTCTTTTTTTTTATTGTAATATTATGGGTGATATTTTCGTATTTTGCAGGGGAAAAACCAAGGTTAGCAAGTTTCTGTCGAGGTGGTTAAAACCACTGGAAGAAACCAGTTAAAACTGGCATGACAGAAATTCAGAAAATGACATAAAAGTAAGTACTGAGATTGACATCCAATGGATAATTCATAGAAAAAAACAATTAAATGTTAAACAAAGTACAATTTATTTACAAAATTATCACCATTCAAAATCAAATATTACATTGTCTGCACTCTGCATTAATCTATAACAAAAGACAAGTTTTTATGCAGTTTCTAAACCAAAACAATTTCTCAATTTGCTATGAACGAACAATAAATTTGAGAAAATTCTCTTAAGTCCATGCTAGCAGGCATTGCCATCAAGGAACAAGCAAGATTTGTGAAACTTTCTTCTATTGCATATTTTTTAAAACTGGACAGCCATGTAGCAGCTGGGGAAGTTGTCAAAACTTGACTGGAAAAATAAGTTTCAGGAAATGGGGCCGATTTGTTATAAAGATTTGATATACTGCGCTCTTTATATTTAATATAAACAAAATAGTTACAGTTATATGGAGCTACATTTTTCAGTTTACTTAAACAAAATGTCATTAAGCACTTACTAGAACAAATATAGACATTTTTTTAGTTTCTGCCAGTTTTTACAGGTTATTACCAGTTTCTGCCACTGGCATGGCAAAAATCAGTTTCTGCCCGCAAAAAGCCAACCCTGGGAAAAACACACTTATTATTTCTTTTCTGCGCATTTTGTAAATCATCATTACATTAAAAAAAAATCGAGAAATCAGTAGCAGTAACCAACGAGAAAAAAAAAGAGCGACGGCGAATCAGACTCTAAAAAAAAGGTTTACTAAATGCGTGTTTTCATTTCGAGATTCAGTTATAGTAAATATCTTATCAAAAATATCAGATTTTAAAAGCTATGTGGAAATTAATAGTATAATAACCACCTAAAAAAAAAGAACAAAAATTTCTGCGGAAAAGAAATCCAAATTTTTTATTTCATTATTCTCAAACAAGAACTGAAAAATCACAAGTGTTTTTTTTTTTTTCCCATTCTGATTAGCGAGAAACACCAAGTCTGATTCTGCACTCGATCTTTTTTTTGGTAATAACTGTTATGGATTTAACCTTTTTTTTTTAATATGATGATTCACAAAATGCAAAAAACGAAATAGTGTCTTTCTCTCCTAAAAATAAGAGAATATATCCCATAATTTTAGTATGTAAAAAGTAGTACCTACTTATTCAATTAAAAAAATTATTTTATTTGATCTCAAAAGTTATTGTTTTTGGAATCTAACGCTTCCATAACTTTAAACTAGTAACATGTATATTTGTTAGTTTTAAAAGTACCTTGCAGCAGGGTGTAAATGATTTTAATCAAATGATTTTGATTAAAATCATGATTTAAATCAAATGATTTTTTTTAAAAAAATCACTGATTTTAATCAAATTAGATATTTATAGAGATCAATTATCTAATTAGACAGATAATTGTAGTGTATCAAATGTTGTCAACATCTGGAAAAATTTAAAGGAAACTCTGAAAGATTCTAATAATAATTGCTGCAAAAATTTTTTTACTAAACGATATGAACAAGCGTTAACACCAGCTCATTTCCTAGCTTACCTCTTGGACCCTAATTCTGAAGTACAATGTTTAACACTAAATGAAAAAGATCAAGCTGTAAACTTTGTTAAAGATAAGTATGGAGAAACCTCCTTATTAAGTATTTTGCTAAAATTCATTGTACGCTCTCCTCCGTTTAATGGAACTTTGTTTGATAAAGAATCTCTAGAATCTTTAAACATTTTGGAATGGTGGAAATCAATTGCGCTTCTAAAGAACTGTGTAGGTCAAAAAGAGTTTGATGCAATACAGTTGTTATGTACTGCAAAAGGAACAACTGCAGGGATAGAGAGGATGTTTTCCACTTTTGGACTTGTACATACTAAACTACGGAATCAATTGGGTGTAGAAAAGGCAGCTAAATTAGTCCTTATGTTTAAATCTTTAAATAAAACTAATTAAATGATTGTTTAAATAATTTGATATTGTAGATGTAGAATTAATAATTATCACATATTGTTTGATAAACAATTTCTTTCTTGATTTGTAGTTTGAAATCACTTTGTTATTGTTTATTTCTTATTTCACCTTTTGCTTTTAAATTATTAAGAAATATTTTGTTGATAATGGTTAGTAATGTTTATTTCCAATGTATACCATAAGTAACAATAGTAATACAATACAACTTTAAATCTATGGTACACAAAATTGATTATATTCCATAGAATTGAAATTATAAAAAAATCATGATTAAAATCAAAAAAATCCGATTTTTTTGATTTTTTAAAAAAAATCATGATTTTAATACAGAAAGATATTAGTATTAAAGAGCAGGGGTCTAAGTTTTTCTGAGAAGTACCTATTTTGTGAAATAGACATAATTTGTGATAAATTTAAAATTACATTGAAAAATCAGCAAAAAAACATGGTAAAATTATATATTTATCGTTTCTTAAGGAATACAAAAATAAAATTTTAAGAAAAATTATTTTGTGAAACTACCGTTTTTCCTAAAGTTGAATTTGTGAAACTACTGTATTGCCTAAAATTGAATTTGTGAAGGTACCGCTAAACGGTAGTAAATTCGGCCTGGACAGACTTGATAGTATATTCAGAGCTCATTCTAGGCAGGGTAAACAGGGCGCAGCACCCCGCTGCCCTTTTAGTCAAAAGAATCCACCCTGTTGCCCCCCCTGAAGTAAATTAGTGCCCTGATATAATAGACTCCATAACCTTTTTGCCCTTTCTTTCCTCAACTCTTCTTTGTTTTTTTCCCCAAACTCTACTATGGATTTCTTAAACTTTTGTTACTTTCAACTCTTTTTATTTAGTTTGTCATTGCTGTCAATACATAGGAATACATTTATATGGGAAAGGAAAAATAGCCATCACACCCCTTGTTGCACTTGTCATTGAAAGTTTGCAGTTACTTCCACTACCATTAAATCATAATTATTAATCATTTTAATTATTAAATCATAACTACAGAAATTTATTATTTTATTAATATATGCATGCATTTTAAATAAATTACTAAGCTACTAAATAAATTTACTACCCATTAACTCAATATATATGTCAATTTATTAATAAAAATTTGTAATTAATATGATTGCTTTGCTACTTTTAGTAAAGTAAAGGAAAAAAAATTCTTTTACTAATTGACAATGTTTTTAATAGAATGTGTTTAGAAAGAAATTATTGCCTTTTTAGAATAATAATGCCCTTTTTTCTGCCTAGAATGAGCTCTGGTACATTAATTTATTGAAACATTAAAGAGCATCTTTTGAAAGTCTCTACTTACCTCTTCTCTGATTAAAGAGTTATCGTTTCTTCTCTCTGAAGATTCTGTTACACCTATTTTCGTTCTTGTTTCATTGGGTGGTTCATGTTCACTTAAGATTTTCGGGTTATATAGTTTACGAGTTACATCAACGGACCTCCCTCTGCTATGTTTTTCACCTTCTCTTGGTGTTTCATGTCTTCCTTTTTGGGGACTTTTAAATTCTTTTGGTGCACTGGGGACTTTCTTCACACGGGGACTTTCAGGCCTTTTTGATTTACTGTGTATTTTCTTAGATCTACCTCTCTTTCTTTGGGAATTTTCAGACCCTTTTGATGTACTAGGTCTTGCTTTCCTCCCACGGGGACTTTCAAACCCTTTTGATGTACTGGGTTTATCTTTCTTTCCAAGGGAGCTTCCAGGCCCTTTTAATGTACTTGGTCTTGCCTGTTTCGTACGGGGACTTCGTCTAACAGACTCTAACATTGCTGCTCTAGATTTATTTTTATCAGTTTCAATATTTTTGGCATATTTTTTGGAACCTTTCTTGTAATAATCTCTTGCTGAGACCTGTGATTCGAAACTTGTAACAATAGAGGAGCTGTCCGATTCTTCAGCACCAGATTGTTCAGAATATTCAGAATCAGAGGACGATGACATTGGAAATCTGAAAAGTCAATCATTAATATTAGATAGTTGCAGGGTTGGAGTTTTTTGCCAGGACAGTGGCAAAAACCTGGTAAAAACCAAATTATCTGAATTACTGATTAAATACTATTACAAAATACTTGAAACAAATTTAAATCAATCATAAGAAATAATAAATTCGGCACATTACATGAGAAAATTATGTTTAAAATATTAATAATTAATACAAGGGAAATAATTTTTAAAAGATTGAAAGTTTTTGACCTCTTTTCATTTTAGAATCCTTAAATAAATGTTTTTTTACAAATTGTTTTTTTTTTACTTCTTCATAATAACTTTTGGTATGTATTATTTTACATTATATCACTCTTACACTATATTTAAAGAGAGACAGAAGAAAGCTAAGATGGATGTTTTATTAGATAGATTTTGATAATCACCTCATTTCTCAATATTACTTCAAAATGCAAACAAAACCACACAATTTAAATTCCCTTGATCCTTTTCACTCACAAACCAGCCCCCCCCCCGACTTTACACAAAAAAGGTGGGTGGTATTAGTTATACTCATCTTGCCCTATCCACACAACTCTTACATAAAAGTCACAAATGATCATCTGAAAGAGATGGATGAAAACATTGTTGCTCACGTACGTGATTTCAATCTTTTGCAACAAGTAAAAGATCTTATAAAACAAATAGAACCAGTTTTAAATGCCTTGAACATTCTACAGACCAATTCAACAGCAATAGCAGATGCTTGCCATATATGGTGCAAATTGTTAGAAGATGACAATTTACAGCCTTATAAAATACAAGTAAAAATGAGATTTGTGCAATCAATTTTACCTTGGTACCTTCTTGCTTATTTATTACACCCAAAATATAAAGGGCAGAAAGAGAAGGCCAGAAAATTTCTTGATGGAATAAATCCATCATTTGTTTCATATGCCAGGAATTTTAAATTACAAGAAAAACCATTCCCTAAAACATTATTCTCAGAGCAAGTTATAGCCACAATTGATGCTAGTACATGGTGGAGGAGTGTGCAAAATTCTTGTGAAATTTCCAGAGAATTTTGTGAATTAATATCTCATTCACACTCATGTCCTTCTAGTAGTGCTGCCATTGAAAGAGTGTTTTCAAATTTTTCATTTGTACATTTTAAAATTCGGAATAGGTTGATTGTAAATAAAGTTTCAAAACTAAACTAGTCTTCTGTTATGCTATGTTGAGGTTGAGACAGCACAAATTGTATTGTGATGATGAATAAAGTATTGAATTTGAGCAAATTTAAAAAATTGCATAGATACTTGTATATTTTAATTAACTATTGATAGATATTTTATGCTTTAAATCAGGGTTGGCAAGGTTTAGGACAGAATGGATTAATCCACGGTTTAAACTGTCCTGTCCAAAACCCATATACTCAAATTATGTCACAATTTTAGAACTAATAACATATTGATAATTAAATCTACTACAGAATATTTGTTTTTAAAAGTATAATGTTTTATTAATATTGTTTGACCCTTCAATTTAAACATTAAACAAAAGATTAATCAGTAATCAAGTTCAATTATAATGATCCACGGTTCCCAACAATCCACGGTTTAAACTGTCCTGTCCAAAACCCATTTACTCAAATTATGTCACAATTTTAGAACTAATAACATATTGATAATTAAATCTACTACAGAATATTTGTTTTTAAAAGTATAATGTTTTATTAATATTGTTTGACTCTTCAATTTAAACAAAGGAAGATTAATCAGTAATCAAGTTCAATTGGTCCTCTCATTCAATAGTACATAACTGAAGTTTGGCCTTGCCATACAGGTTAAAATATTAGGGACTAAGTGCTTGGTTCGTCATAAACAGGTTTATTTATCTATAGTACTATTCAAGAATACTTTTATTTCATTCATGTTCAATTCTTTTAGCATAGTGGTGATACATCACCAGTGTCAGTAACTGAAACTGATGTTATGCCCTTCAAAACTGTTAATACATTTTTCAGTTATTTTGTATTTTCAATTTAAACTAATATATTTATATTTAAAAACAATTCATTTAAAAATAGATGTCTTTTTTATCATACTGTGATGCAGAAATTATAACATTTTTTAAAAAAAATAGTGTGAAAAATAAAAGGTTAATTTTTAAGCAAATTTAGTATTTTTTAAAAAAAAAATTTTTTTTTTTAATATTGCTTTATTTATTCTTATGCAAAAACATTAAAAGCATATTTATATTTAAAGGATTATGTATTCACTTTTGTTGTTCAATGAATTGTGGAGCTTCAAAAATTATAAATGTTTTCCTATTATATTATATTATTTTCTTTTAATAAGTTAAAGTAAATTGTATAAAAAATATCAAATATTTATTGATACATGCAGGGGTGATTGTGAACCCAAGTCAAAATTCCGGAAAATTTCTTGAAAAAAAAATTTTAAATTGAAAAATTAGAAAAAAATTTAAACAAGGTGTTTTTTTGTTATCTCAACATTTCTTAGTTTACTTAAAATATATTTAAAATTCTACACATACCTATACCATTTATACATACCTATGATGACCTGGAGAAGAAATTAAAATTTACAAATATGTCTTTCTTTTTTGAGTTTATAATTATAACAACTATTTACTGATAAAAAATGAATATTAATCATGAATATCAGCTTATAAAGTATATCTCTGGCTCTCCCTTACAAACAAATAAAATAAACTGTGTTTTTAAGTTCCACCTTTGAAAATTTGATTTCCCTAAACTTCTGTGATCAATGATTTTTTGAAACGTCTGGACCTTTGATCTCCGGAAACTTCCGGATCACTGTTAGTGAAAAATCCGGAAATCCGGATTTTTTCGGGAGCACAATCAGCTCTGTATCAATGTACATGTGATTATGCCCCCTCTGTACAGTAATTATTATGAGTACAATGGTTACACCTATAGAATTTTTACCTTTTATCAAAGTTCAAGGTTTCGGACACTTTAAGACAGTAAAACCCATGTGTCCTGTCCAAAACCAGTTTAGAACGTCCAAAACCCCAACCCTGCTTTAAATTATAGTTATATTAATCAGTGTTTTCATTACAGAAAAAAAATGAGAGAGAATTTCTCACCCTTTCTCAAAAACGGGGTGAGATCTCAAAAAGTTAAGTGAGATTTCTAGAAATTAAAAAAACGCGAATAGACTTGGAAAAAAAAATATTTCTTTAATTATAATACATTTTTAACATCTTCTAACTAATTTTTAAAGAATTGAATATTTTTGCTGCATCATCATATCGAAAACGTTCTATATCTACTTTTTCATCAGCTTTTCTCATTAGGTTGCTCAAATGTTTATCAGTCATTTGTATATGATATTTTGTCTTAATTCAGTTTTGAGTGCTAAATGACCTTGCAACAAATGCTGAACAATTCGGAATCACTTAGTAAATTTGTAGCATTGAAAAAATTTTTAACATCTTACATGAAGAAATCTTACCTTCCGTGAAATGTGTTCTGAAAGGAAGAAAAATGTGTGGAAATGAAAGGAAGAAGTTGCAGAAAAATGTGTTCTGAAAGGTGTTCTGTCATTCGGGGGGGATGGNGGGGGGGGGGGGGGGGCATTGTGTTCTGCTTTTCGCACTGGTTCTGAACAATACTAGTAAATAGGGGAGCTAGATAACAGGGATCCATGTTGGAAATAATGAAAGATCAAGGAAGAAAAGTGAAACGGATTTTTATTCAAAATGACTCATTTTGAAATTGATTAATAGAGTGCGAGATTTTCTCACGTTAATAATTTTTTAATGCGAGAAAAGAAAAAAATAAGCGAGATTCTCGTGTTCTTGCTTTGTAGTGAAAACACTGATTAATTTAAAATAAGTTCATTTCACTGGAAAAAAAAGAGAATGATCACTAATTTTCCAATCAATAATGTTTTAAATTACTAAAATGATATATTAATACATTACTAGGAGGCTCCGCCCCCCTGCTCGCTAACGCTCGCCAACCCCCGAGAATTGCTACGCAATCCTATGTGGTTCACGCCGTGAACCATGGCTTGCTCGCCAATGAACACAATGGAATGTTCTAGCACAAAGACATAATATATTATCATCAAAGACATAGTATTTTATCATTAAAAACATAGTACAGTAGGGAACCGATTATCCGGAACGATCGGGACCATCGCTATTCCGGATAACTGATTTTTCCGGTTTTCTGAATCGCTACAAAAAGCCTTTTTTTTATTGTTAAATCCAACTAAAAAAAATAATATTTGGAAATAATCTTAAAAAGAAGAAGAAACGATGAAGTAATACATTAATGATTATTTCCAAAATGATGGTAAGGTAAACATCATTCAAAAAAGAAAGAAAAATCCTAAAATCTTATGAGGAAAAAAAATTTTTTCTTTTTAAAATGGCGGGAAAATTTATCGAATTTTGTTCCGGTTTTCTGGTCTTCCGGTTTTCTGATTTCCGGATAACGGGTACTGTACTGTATTGTACTTATGTAGAAGAATTCTACCAATGTTCTTATTGACTTTTAAAAAAGTATATTAGCTATTTAGATTGTACATGGTGAAAAAATAAAAACATTAGCTAAATAAGAAACATATTAGCAAAATAAATTATCAAATATTCCTTCACTAATATTCTGCATTTTAAAGCGTGAAAATTCAATGCATAAATAAACGCGAAATATAAAAAAATTCAATACATTCAATACAAACACTTAAACGTTTAGGTAGCTCCCAGTAGAAAAATATCAATTCAACAGCGGCCTTTTAAAGCATTCTCACTTCAATTAATTAATTAATTCCTAATTGAATTTAAATTAAATATTGTCATGTTTTTAGTGCATGAATCTGAATTGAACAACCTGATAATGCAGAGCTCATTCTAGGCAAAAAAAAGGGCAGGGTGCAAAAGTTTAAAAAAAGGGCATTATTATTCTAAAAAAGCAATAATTTTGTCCTATAGGCTTTACACGTTCAATTAAAAAACATTATCAATTAGTAAAAGATTTTTTTTTTTTTACTTTACAAAAAGTAGCAAAGCAATTGTATTAATTACTAATTTTTATTAATAAATTAACATATCTATCGAATTAATTAGCTAAGTACAAGTAATTTATTTAAAATGCGTGCATATATTGATAAAATAATAAATGTATGTTCTTAGGTGTCTGTAGTTATGATTTAATAATTAAAATGATTAATAATAATTATGATTTAATGATAATGGAAGTAACTGCAAACTTTAAAAGACAAGTGCAACAAGGGGGTTTCATGGCTATCTTTCCTTTCCCTCATAAATCTAAGTATTAACAGCAATGACAAACTTAATAAAAAGAGTTAAAAATAACAAAAGTTTAAGAAATCCACTGTAGAGTTTGGGGGAAAAAATAAAGAATGGTTGAGAAAAGAAAGGGTATGGAGTCTATTACATCAGGGCACTAATTTACTTCAGGGGCAACAGGGTGGATTATTTTGATTAAAAGGGCAACAGGGTGCTGCGCCCTGTTTACCCTGCCTAGAATGAGCTCTGGATAATGCTCACTCTGGTTATTGTTATCTGGTTGCTCACTACGTGCTCTTGCGCGCCGAATCCAATCAATTAAAAATGAAAACTGTTGCCAGCGCGAGAAAAGAAATATCATCGGTTTTATTGATACAAACATACGTACGTCTTAGCGTTTTATATAATATAGATGATTTAATTATGGAATAATAAGTTTGTTAATATTTTAAATTATATATATTTATAGTATATATTTCAATTTTAGGAATAATTTTGTATCAAAAATGTGTTTTTGTCCTCTCATCTTGGAAAATAGCTTTTTGCTACTTTGCTTGGCAAAAACCTGTTTAAGCCAGGACAGTTTTTACCATGGTTTTCTCCACCTGCGGCAAAATCTTGCCAACACTGGATAGTTGGCAAATAGAATTAAAACTTGTAATTAACTATAAAAATAAATCGAGAAAGTAGTTTTAACGAGTAAAGTGAGGTAGCAAAATAATTTCCTTTGTTTTAAATTTGAACAAAATAAACAAATTCATGTATAATTTTTATTTTTTTAATGGAAGTTTTTTTCAACTCATATTGTAGAAGCATTCGATACAACTTAAAAACATTCAACCTGAAGCACTAAAAAAGAAAATTTATTCTTAAATACCTCACTAGCAGAATTTTGCACATTAAATCAAACGGTTCTTTTTTCTTTAACCTGCAGAAAAAATTGTAAAATAAAGGTATGCCTTAGGGACCAGGGGTTCAATATGCGCCAAATCGCAGGAATAATGTTTGGAGTAAATGCACTAAAATTTTTTGCCTATTTAAAAATATAAAACTTATCATTCTTGAATGTAAAAAAAAAAAAAAAAAANACAAAAAAAAAAAAAAAAAAAAAATGGATGGAAAATATATCAGCGTAGAAAACAATCCTACAAAAATGAAAAACAAGGATAGACGTCAGTTGGTTGTAAATTAAATTAATACTGTACAGAGCACAGGTATTCTTGTTCTTGAGAGATGAATAAAAGTCCTCAAGACCCCAAAAATTTATTAGCAAAACTTTCCAGAAAATACAGCAATTTGTGGTACACCCAGTACAAATAACAATCTAGTACACAACAAATCACAGGTTTTGGAACCTCAGACGATTCAACGAACTCTAATGTAGTCACAGATTATATCTTCTTCCCTGTGGCAGAATTTTTTTGAGCTATCAGCAACAAAACTGTCTAGCACATATATCTTTCTGCAATACACTTTTAATAATAACAAACATACATGTTACTTATTCAAAATAACAAATGACTAACGCTGTGTTTACAAAAAAAGCACATATATATTTTCTTATTTGAACATCTAATAATTTTTTATTCTAATATTGTTGTGGATGATATTCTCGCGTTTTGTTTGGGGTCGGGAGAAGGCACAAACTATTTCTTTCTTTGCGTTTGGTAAATAATCATCACAAGGAAAAAAATAATTAAAAATCATGAAATCTGCAAGTAGTAATTGTCGGAAAAAGATAGACGACGAAATAGTTAATATTGTAAGAAAAATATCAAATTTAAGAGCTATGGAGAAATTAAGAGCAAGAACTATGAAAAATTCGTTAGAATTAATGCCGTAAGAATTAAATAATCGATTGCATCATTCAAATTTTCCTTATTGCGTAAAATATACTGAAATATTTAAAACCACACGAGAAAATCAATAATACAAATGCCGAAAATACAATCCAAACATTGAGCATGCCAAAAAGTGATTACCCAAATGCATGATCCAAGTAGTAGGGACATATTTTTAATATGATAAAACGGTATGAGAACTTGGAATTTAGGTAATGGTATATTCTTCGATTTATTGTTGCAGACTTCATCATAAATTCAAGTGACATTTCGATCGTTTCTTTAGCTTTTGTAACTAGCAATTCCCATGTGGTTTTTAAAATCAAACTACATTTATTACGACTCGTGACTTATAATACCATAATTTAATTTATCACTTTTGACTTGCTTTATTTCTGCAGATTTAATAGTAAATTTAAATGATTTTTTTAAAGGCAGTTATCGCTGTGGTTTTTACACATGTTTTTGGAAATCCTGTTCTTTTACTAACATATCACTACGACACGAGAGTTTCAAGTGACACATTTAAATTATCCCTTTCGGACGTGATTTGTTATTGCCGGCTTTGTCTGTAGTCCAATTTTTTTAAGCAGTTTTACAATGCATTATCCCGGTGGTTTTTAAATCCGGATTTTAATCTCAGTATGTGCATTTTAAATTTTGCATTAAAATAATTACTTAAAGTGTCTCATTTATATAGATTTCATACTAATTGAAGGCAATTTTTTTGTTGCAATTATTGCAATGCCTTTTTCAACATGAATCCCCATTCCTTTAACTACGTTGCTATTACGACATGTGATTTATCAATCACACACTTAAATAATTGTTTTTTAATACAATTAATTTGTGCACATTTCATCAAAAATATGTTTCTATTTCTTGAATTATTAAAAACCTTTAATTCAAGAAATACAAATATCTGAATAATACTAAATATTGACTGTAATGGATTTGTTTCAATTTTCTATTATTTATTTCAATAAATTTAGATCAAATTTTTATAACTCTACAAAATGTATATTTTTTTGCACTCTCATTCCGTAATCTCAACAGTTTTTTTTGTTTGTTAGAATTTATATCCCCTAATATATACACATGAATATATACATACATTCAAGTTCGTCCCCTTCTGAGATTTTTTTAAAAAAGTTACAACCCTTAAGCTGCCAAAACTCTGCAAATTATTAAGCCACAGATCACGATTGAACTTCTCAGAAGTTGGAGAATTTTGGAATGGGCTACTAAAGCTCAGAGTTGCAGAACAGACACCCATCTAGAATTTGCTTCAGGCATCTACACGCCACAGAAAAACAATGCCAATTTTACTTTTACCAAAATTACAAAAAAAAAAGAATTAAACCACAATCTATTCTATTTACCTCAATCACTAAATAAAAACATTAGTAGAATATACGAAAATCACAATATGACAAACAGGACAAAACGAAATTAAGACGCTAGTGACAAGTTACAAAACAAGGAAAGATGATAATTGATTTAAGAACAGAGAATTAAAATCAAACCTGGCACTCTTCATAGATACTTTCATTTGATATTTTTAGGCATTAGTAGAATTTTTAATATTAGATTATTATAATACGGTCGGATAATTGCTCAAATACATGAAAAAGTGGCGGGAATAGTAGTGAAAGTAGTAGTAACTGACGAGTCGTTTTAGAACTGAAAGCTTATAAATAAGTTTGAAGCTTTCATGGAATAAAAGGCACAATGGAATACCTGCAAGTGACGTATTGTGGGTACTTCGAACCTGATTGTTTGTTGACAGGTGGGGTTTTTTTTACGTTAGCAACTGTTCATTCCATTCTATTTAGAGTAAGCCAAGTTCAATAAGTTTAAAAAGTTCTCAAGATATGGTGATATAGGCAAAAAGTAAGATAAACATTAAGGGGTCCAAGCTATCGATCTCCTGACAAAACTATAGGGACCCTATTTGACACATCGTAGAGATTTCAGGGGTCAGAAGTCAGAATCCATCATAAAAAATGCATGTTTATTCAGCGAATTAACGTTTTTGTGTCTGTTTTCGTAACTTAAAAATCGTCTGCGTCCCGCAGTGGACTAATCGTTAAGACACAGTTCTCAGCAGATCACCGAAGTCAAAAATCACGGGCTGCGGTCAGTGTGCGGGTGGGTGACCACTTGGATCTGCCTGCGTAGGGACCGAGGGTGTGCGGTATTGGTCCTCGTCAAACTGTTCTGTCTTGAAGTGAACTGTTCGACTTCGCGTGCAGGTCGTTGGGCTACCGAAGTGGGAGTGCTATCCCCTCCTCAGAGGATCAAAATTGTGATGGCGTGTCATCGGATCATCCTTAGGGATGTTTCCCAAACCGTCGCCAATAGCCCATTGTGCAGCTCTAGTGCGACGTAAATGATCTACTACTACTACTAAAAATCGTCTGCACTAATTATTTAACATATTTGAAGTCTTCCTCTTAAACCATTAAGATGGATTCCTAAATATCCGATTGTTAGATCAAAAGTTATTGAGGGTAGTCCTTTTTTTGCGCACTGTACAAATTTTAATTTTCATTTTATCATATGTTACAAACCAAACTTTTTTAAAAATATTTGTGCTCTTATAATACAATGTTTAGAACGCATTTTTAAATTTCCCATAATTTGCTGTAGTCATAAATTTAAAAAAAAATCATCAAATTTGATTTCGTTTTCATTATTTTAGACTATATGACTATAGTTTTCTTAAATGTAGGATTTGCTTCAGCTAAATCAGTTGCTATTTCTACTATTTGATGGAAAGTATTCTTTCTTACATAATTTAAGCATATTATTTGAATAAAACAGTTAAAATGATAGTATTTTACTAAAATATTTTGATCGGATTGAGCAGATTCATTTATCATCTAAGTTCACAAGTTCATTGATTCATGCAAGTCGCAGCGCGTTCTGCGTCGCACTCGACATCTGCAAAATTTACATTTTTGCGAAAATCAATTCCATATTTTGGTATAATAAGCTTAATAGAAAAAGACTATTTAAAAATGCAATTTTTTTCAAATTTTTGAAATTTTAATGAGTAATTCTCCCTTGAAATATAAAGTATCAAACGCACTTTCAAATTACTCTTTAACAGTTTAAATTATAAAAAGGAGGCGTGAATTCATTATAATATTGAGTAATAATAATTAAGATCCACTGCTTCAGAATTTATTGGTGATCATTAAAATAAAGTAAAATTTATTGCCCTTGCTGAAATGAGGGGAATCAGAGGAAGTATTGAATTTAAGGGATAACGGCACAAAAAGTTCTTAAACATTTTGAAGAGTATTTTTGATTTTTATACCCTTTGTTATCTGCTTGGAAAATATGTTCTCTTGGATTCGTTAATAACATTACACGAGTCTGTCAAAATTGGTAATAATTTTTTATTTATTTATTAATCAACCGGTTAATTTATAGCTTAAATCAGAAAGAATTTTAATGTATTTCAGATAGTTATTTAATATTTATTTCAACATAACTTTGCTATGGTTGAAAGTAGCGTTGGAAAACACGGATTATGAAATAAAGTGAAAAAAAAGTTATCAAAGTGGTATTAAAGCTGTCGGGTATTTCGCCTTCTTATGAACTGCTGGTAGCAACCTAAAAGGGGGAAGATGAAATGACTGGTGCTAAATTCGAATATATGTATAGTGTTGAAGAAAATGGTGAGAGCGTGTCGGAACCAATCTCTAGAAACTTAAAATAAGATGTACTTGTTGTGATTGAAAGTGGCATTGGAAACCACGAAAAAGGAAAAAAAAAGTGAAAAAAGTAGTTAAGAAAGTGGTACTAAAGTTTTCGGGAATATCAACTTCTTATGAACTGAAGAACTGTTGGTAACAAGCTTATGGTGGGAAAGGGAAGATTAAACAATGGTACTAAATTCGAAAAGGGCGACAAGTACAGTTTTGAGGAAATTTGTGAGAATAAATCTCTAGAAACTTTAAATAAGATTTACTTATTTGTGATTGAAAGTGGCACTGGAAACCACGGAAAAGTGAAAAAAGTTATCAAAGTGGTACTGAAGTTTTCGGGTATACTGAAGAACTACTGGTAACAACCTAATGGTGGGAAGATTGAACAACTGGAACTAAATTCGGAAATGGTGACTGGTATAGTTTTGAAGAAATTGGTGAGAGCCGAGACTGGTTCCGATGTGCTCTCAGTGAGAGCGCATCGGAACCAGTCTCTAGAAACTTAAAATAAGATTTACCTGTTGTGATCGAAAGTGGCGTTGGAAACGACGGTAAAGGAAATAAAGTGGGAAATTTTTTTTATGAAAGTGGTTTTAAAGCTTTCAGGTATTTCGCACATTTATGTACTGAAGAACTGCTGGTAACAACCGAAAGGGAAAATATAGTTTCATGGATATATTCTCAACTGGAACTGATGTTTAGTTTTGTAGTTGGTGAGAAAATGCTGGAAACAATCACTGGAAGCTTGAAAAAGAATTCACTTTTTGTGAAAGTGACGCTGTAAATCAAGAAAATGGAAACAAAATGAGAAAAAGTATCAAGTTTATAGGCGCTAAAGCAGAAAGGGATCAAACTGGCACAAGTCAAGTGCAAAAAAAAAAAAAAAAAAAAAAAAAAAAAAAAAAAAAAAAAAANAAAAAATATGAAGTTTAAAAACCAGTATCACAGTACAAAGTACGATATCAGTATGCAGCTATTTTATCAGCAAAAAGGATTANTAATTCACTTTTTGTGAAAGTGACGCTGTAAATCAAGAAAATGGAAACAAAATGAGAAAAAGTATCAAGTTTATAGGCGCTAAAGCAGAAAGGGAGCAAACTGGCACAAGTCAAGTGCAAAAAAAAAAAAAAAAAAAAAAAAAAAAAAAAANTGACAGAGCAAGACTCCATCAAAAAAAAAAAAAAAAAAATGAAGTTTAAAAACCAGTATCACAGTACAAAGTACGATATCAGTAAGCAGCTATTTTATCAGCAAAAAGGATTACTCAATTTTGAGATTTACGATACAAAATCTTAAGAACCACTCCATTAACATTACATTTCAACTCCGATGTTATGCCAAACTCTCCTTTTTGAAACTTCTTTGTGTTCTCAAATGCTCTGTAACTTTCTTAATAAAGGTGTTAACTAAATACCACCTTAAATCTGTATTTTTTAGAATCCTTCGAAATATGAAGACAAAAATGTTTACACAATGAGTGTCGCAAACTTATATTTGAGCTTGGGAAAAAGAAAATGTTTTTGAAAACAAGCAAATCACAATTGAGTAAAATGGGTACACAAGGAGCCAAAACCTAACTGATTTCCGGTCAAAACTTTAATACGTTTCTCGTTAATAGTCTTTAAACACTTTTTCTTTCTTTCCGCAAGCAAATAGGCTTTGGTACGTCATATTCCCCCCTTCCTCAATTGCGATTCGTCAGTAAACGAAAGTGTTTTTTTTTTCTGTCTTAAATGTTGGGACTCTTACTTTATATGCTTTCTTAAGACCATTTGTGATAAGGTATTGAAAAAAAGCATATATATTTGTGTCTGTTTTCGTAACTTAAAAATTCGTCTACTCTAATTAATTAGCATATTTGAGGTTTTCCCCTCAAATCANTATATATATATATATATGAATGAATTGATCAGTATATTATATAAATATAAAATTCCAACAATGACAAACGGAGGTTAACATAAATTTTAAATATAAGTTTTGCAACAATAGAAAAATCTTCACTGATTGTTCAAGACTATTGTTTAAAACGTATGAAATGAGTTTTTCAATAATGTCTGCATTAAAAAGTATGCTTAGCGGGAAATATAACTGTCAACAATACCATAAAAGAAGTACAAAGAAATTCTTAAAACACTCATTCTTATCTTTGAATAAGCATTGAAAGGTGAAGCTTTGAAAATGAATCGCCTTATGAATGCAATTTGCATATCAGGATGGTTTACGTTCTTTCTCAGAAAGAAAAAAACTGTGCCTGAGCTGCTTCCTGCAGCAAGTATGGTGGAAGAGATCCACGGGCCTCAATTGCCCGAGCTTGGCATAACATCTGGCCAGGGTGACCACAGGTCACTGTGTGATTTTGTTGTAAAAGACCCTCCGCGTATCGTCTCCACATTTGTAGAGTCGCAAGAACCGGAGTGGTACAGGAATGACTGGGAAGAATCAGGAATCAGAAAGTCTTACAGTGGTGATGATAGTTTGATCCATCCACCAGAAATAGCTGGTTGCACTAATGCACCATTGAAAGCTGAAATCAAACTGATCAGTGAGTCATCATTATTTTTTTTATAAACATTTTCATAACAAACATGGCTTTAGAAATAACTTCCACTCGCCTTAACATACAGCTTAGGAGAAAAATCGGACCATCCAGAATACATTTTAATTTAATGATTTTAGGTTCTGGAACTCAATCTTAATGGTTCACGGTGACAACCTAAAAAATTCAAATTAATTTGTGCAAACGCTATTTCTAGTTAAGAAATTCAACACCATCAATCTTATTAATCTCTATTAAGCATACATTTTGTTTGATGGATTCATGTTCTTGACCCTCAAAATATGGGGTGTAACTGGAATCTGTCCCTAATAATTTGGTCAAGAGAGTTTGGACCCCTTAATTTTATTTTTTGTGCGATTTGCCGCATCTCCAGAATTTTTTAAGCGAATCGAAAAAGTTTTGCACAGAATTATT